GGGCTCGGGTTCCAGGTCGGATCTGCTGGGTGGTGACGTGCCTTCTCCCCGGCAGCACCTCCTCCGCCAGGGCCGCCCGGCTGTGCAGGTCTCCCACGAGCTCGAGGTCCTGGCGACCGAATACGAACAGGACGCAATGGTGCTGAGTGGAGACGTGACTGCGTCTGGCAGCATCAGGCCGATCGGCGTCCACACGGTGGTGAAGGGCCTGCTGCACCTGACCTTGGCCAACGTGGGTAAGAGTCCCGACGCTTCGTGTGGCCTCTCGTCCTTTCCTGGCAGCCACTCGCCTTCCCAGCTGGAGCATGAGCTCCGCAGGCAGTGGCACAAATTGTGGGCATCGTATAGGAGCAGGAGTTAGCAAAACTCTTATTAGTTTGACCACTGAGCCTGCCCTTGTCTGCCTGCCCTGCCCTTGTGCCCTGGGCCTGCCCTTGTACCCTAGGCCTGCCCTTGTCTGCCTGCCCTTGTCTGCCTGCCCTGCCCTGTCCCCTGGGCCTGCCCTTGACCACTGAGCCTGCCCTTGACCACCAGGTCTGCCCTGGGCCAGTTGTTTGTGCTCCTGATTTCTGGTCAGGATTTGGGCGGTTAGTCCCCAGCCTGGCCTTCATTTGTTCGTGGTGCTGTCCCGGGGCCTCTGTGACAGTCCTCAACTACAGCAACCAGGAGAGCTTTTCCTGGGCGCGCCAGCGGCAGAACTGCCCGTCTCAGAGGAGGGAGAGAAATGTTCCTGGACATGTGTAACTTGGGGGCAGGGCCCGAGAAGCACCCCTTTAGGGCCCAGCCTTGACCTTCGCCCCGTGGTGCCCTGTGCCCCGAGAGTGGCTGGGCAGGGAGCCTGAGCCCCGATCCCCCCTCCACCTGCAGGGAGTCTGGCCTGGGGGTGGTCTTCTGGGTGTGACTGAGGCCCCTGACCGGGGAAGAGGTGGCCTGGGGCAGAGGGCCAGTGACCAGCCCACTCCGCCGCCCTGGAGGGCCTGTAGCAGGACTGGGGTTCTGGGCAGAATTGAAAGCTGGACGAAACCAAGCCGGTAGAGGTTGTGGAGCTGTGTCTACCCGGAGGACTCAAGCCTCTGTTGTTGCATCGGGAATTTTCCACTCAAAACCCAGCCTGAGCGTGAGGCTCC